CAAAACCATTATACCCTGATTTCCCATTTTCAATGGGTTCAGGGTATAACAAATGTTGTTGACAAAATTTCACTTTCAACAAAAAATCAAGTGAATCTTTCAATTGGAATTGGGAATTGGTATCGGAATTTAAGAGAAAGACAGAGAGAGAGAGAGAGAGAGAGACAGGGGGGTAGGTAGGTAGATAAGCTGAGTTAAGTTGAGTTGAGTGCGGCGTCTCTGATTAGGCGATAACACACTTATTTTTCGTCAGAGGGGCGTGGCAAGCAACAACAACAATAAAAGTCATAGAAAATTTTGATTAGCCGGAATTGGCTTTGAGCTTTGGGATAGAAGAGGGTGTAGCACAGCTAATGAAAGTGTTTTTTCTTTTCATTATTTCGAAAACAAACGAGATATAATTGAAGCACTCTTCATTTCCATTCCCACATACATATATACCCCGTAACCGTAGAAAGGGGTAGTGCAACGATGCAAAGCTTTGACCATCTTTTGCCTATGTCTCTCTATTGATTGGAATCTCTTACAGCTTATTAATGCAAGGTATTTAATATTATTTAATAATTGCCAAGACTGCAAGTAGAGCTGAATACAGAGTATTTAATAGGCGAGCAGGCATTGTGTATACCACAATATAGCTAGATCAATGTACAAGGTATTTTACAGTCGAGCTTTATTCAGAGATCTGGATATTTAAGAGGTGCTCGACTTCTGGGCGCCCGAAAATTTTTCACGTTTTCTTAGGCAATGGAAAATGTTGTTCATATGAAGTAATTAGGCAAAGTTTCGATTAGGATCTCAATGACTTTTCACTGTGCGCAATGAGTTGGCTTTAAGAAGCAGACAGAGCAGAAGATGGAGAGAGAGAGAGATAGAGAGAGAGAGTTTGTGCCTTATCTATATGCATTAAAAGTAAATCTAAATCAATTTTTTGTATTCGCCTTCTATATAATTGCAGCCAAAGATACAGAGATAACGTCTAGATGCCTAACCTAATGACTAGGCCAAGAGGTAAGTCCAGCAAGTTCGTTGCCTAAGTCTTTCGTTTCAGCTTATATGAACCACAAGGCGTAATGCCTCAATGAATTGCCAAAAAATCAAATATATATGTATGTATATGTATATAACTATATATTTATATATATATATGTGTATATGTCGAGGAGACATTGAAAGCGATTTAAAGAAGTAGCGTTACATAAAGTCCAGCTAACATGACATGTTTTTCAGTTTCTGTATTTTTTTTTTTTTTTAAACCGTTATTGCTCTAACCATGCTTACTGAAATACTCTTAAGCAAACGGTATTAAGTGAGGAGTATGTGTCGTATGACTGCTTTGGGCGTCTTACAAGTTGAATATTGTAACTCAACTGTTTTATTTGATAGGGTATACCACGAGTGCTGGCTCCCTGCTTAGTAAGGGTATATATACCATACACTTAGTGGAGCATTAGAGAAGGTTAAAGTTAAAGGAAAGTATATAGTGTAGAATAGCTGAAGCTGAGATATTTCAATATATCATATACGGAGTGCATTAGTTGAGTAGAGTAGCTTAGGATAAGGTACTACTACTAATGCTATTTTGGTGTTTCACTATTCTCTATGCGATGATTCCATCTTATATACCATTTAGTAGGGTATAGCATGGGTAAGGGTATTCCGTTCCTGTAGTGCTGTTTCTACTATAGCAAGGTGTCGTATGTTTAGATAGTGTATTATTTTCTGGTGTCTCACTATGCTCTTTCTCACTCTCTCCCACTCATATTATTTGCTTTTCTTTTTTTTTTTTATTGCTTTTGTGCGACAGACGTTGAAATATGTGTAAGCCCATTCCGTTTGGGGCCTTTCGTTTGGGCAGCGACCTTAAATCGTTTTTGACTTTGACTTCAATTGGCGAGCCGCAATATATTTTATTATTATTATTATTATTATTATGCTTGTTGGTGTTTTTCTTTCTTCTTCGTCTCTTTGCTCAAGCTAATTAAGCTATTTGGACTTGTTGTTTGATTGTTTGTTCAGTCATGCATGGCAGAACCCGCTAATTCTCAGCTAAATAAAACGCAAAATAAAGCCAAAATAATATGAAATTATGTTGGAGACTTATGTGGGATTCAATCCAATCTAGCTTTGCTCGCACTTCTTTCACTTCATCCATAGGTCTACATATTTATAAGTTTGCCAATGAAGTCTTAATATATATACACATTATGTTGATTGATGTTGATAGAAGGTAGAATATTATCAACATCAGCTGGACGCAGGTAATTAGAGGATGTCCTCTAGTCGTTCACTGCTGACTGAATTCCGTTTATATATCTGCTTTTGCTGCTTGAAAAATGATCAACAAATATATTGCAACTCATTTGTAGATCCATTCCATGCAAAAACCCAGTAGCTGTTCGAGCTAACCTCAAGCGTCAAGTTCTTGCCATTTCTCGAGAAGATGTTTTACATTTTAGTATAGCCATATCTTCTACTGCAATAGCAACTCGTAACGACCTTCACAAAAACTAAAACAAAACCAAAAAACATAACTGAAAGTGGTGCCAAAAGTGAAAAAAATGAAGAAAAACCAAACCAAAAAACTTTTTAGCTTTTTGACCTTCGAGTCACGCAATTATTTTTGTCACTCTCTATATACAAATGTATATATATTGACTTAAGCCATTTGAAGGGGCTTGAGTTGATGCAAACATTTATCTGCAGCTATATATATATATATTTATCTATATAGATAGCTAGATGATGCAGTTCTTTCACTCTCACTCGTTCATGTGTTGCAAACCTTCTATAAAATAAAAAGCTAAAAAAAAAATAGTAAGTGCTTCAATGATTAAGTTGAAGTACTTATTGGGCCACCCACAAAGCCAGACGCTAAAAAAAAAACTAGCTCAGAAAACTAAAATTGCAGCGGCGCAGGCAGAGGCGTTGGCGTTGGCGTAGGCAGCGTTAGCAGAGTCAAAACCAAAGACACCGGCAAAAACAGCGACAGAAGCAGCAAATATATTGTGAGCAGCAGCAAAAGCAACAAAGACAGCGGCAAACGTAGTGGAAGAAGCAGCAGCAGAGACAGCAACTGCAACAGCAAAGACAGAAGCAAAAGCAACAGAGGCAGAGCCATCAAAAGCACAAGCAGCAGCAGTAGCTGAGACTGCCAAAGCAGAGGCAACAGCAAAAATAACATCAGAAGCAAAGACAGCAGCAAAGACAGAAGCAATGGCAACAGAGCCAGAGCCATCAAGAGCACAAGCAGCAGCAGCAGCAAAGCCGGCCAAAGCAAAAGCAAAAGCAAATGCAGAGGCAACAGTAAAAACAACAACAGCAGCAGTGAAGCCAGAAGCAATGGCAACGGAGGCAGAGCCATCAAAAGCACAAGCAGCAGCAACAGCAAAGCCGGCCAAAGCAAAAGCAAAAGCAGAGGCAACAGTAAAAACAACAACAGCAGCAGCAGCAGGAGAGACAGCAAAGGCAGAGACAGCAAACGCAAAAGAAGCAGCACTGACGGCAGAGGCAGCTCAGCACAAAGCAACAGCAAAAGAAGTGACAAACCGCTACTTTGCGCTCTCTGCCAATTGCACAAGGCGCTTGTTCGCTCTCTCGGCTGCAGGCGCTCTCTCAGCTGGCGCGCGTGCTCTCTCCCTCGTTGTTGCTCTTGCTTATGTTGGGCACCTGTCGCGGCAAGTTTGTCAACGAAGCTGGCGTCGCTGTCGGCGCCAACGTCGCTGTCGCTGGAGCTAAGCTCAGCTTTGCGCCGCGCTGGGCACGTCGCGATTTTTCAATGCGTTCCGAACCGCCGATAAGAACGCACGCGAGCGAACGAGCGTACCGAAGAAGCGAGATAGCATTAAAGAAAAGTATTCAATAAATTCAATAATTGAAACGCGCGCGCGTGTTAAATATTATACCACTCTTTTTTTTTTCGTTCGTTTTTGTTTGTTTTTGCAAGAAATTAATTATTTCTATATAAATGTACATATATGAATATAATTGTTTGAAGAAAAAGTTTCCCAAAGTTTTTTTTTGTGCACTGGAAAGAAATTTGCGGCCTTTGTTTTTTGGCCTAGTTAATCACTGAAAACTATTTCCACTGTGTCATGTGACAGTTCTCAACGCTAGGTGTCGCACCACATGCATCAAAATGTCAGCGAAAAATCAGATCAACGTCTTCATGGAGAAGTTCAATACGGTGAGTGAGAGGACGATAAAGGAAGGACTACAAAAAGGATTCGAAAGAGATATTAATGTAGACTATATACATAAATATGTATATATATATTGAGGACGTTCATGTGGAAATATATTTCCAAGATTTGTTAAGATTCATGTCAATTCGTATATGTTCCAAAAAACTTTTTGATATTTTGAAGATTTTATCATAGTATGATGTATTAAAGTACTAATATAGATATATACTAATATAGATATGTTTATAGCTGCACAGTCTCAGCGTAACGTTGTTTTTCTACAGGTTTCTTCAAGAAAGAAGAAGAAATCTCTGGGGAGACGCAAAGTTGATCGATTCACAATATTATCAAACAAATTTAAAAGTCTTTCTTTCTATAAATTTATTCGAGTAAAAATTGTTCAATATAATGAAGCTGAGCTATAGATATAGATAAAGAGTCTTCGATCTAAGCAAATTTGAGCACTAAAGACATTTGATATGTGGAGTAAACTTGATCAAAGTAAAATCATATATGATATGGTTAATGAAGTGATGAGTATATATATATAGAGTAGATTCAGATATCAATTGCATACAGCTGAGCAGAATTAATTTAGTCATTCAACAGAAATATTTTTGACTAACTCCATGAATCGCTTAAGTGTTATAGATCCACGTCCCCATCACCATTGTACGAACTATACCTAACCATCTTCGTGTTTGACTAATTCCCAATTTAGCAAATTGAAGTTTTCGAGTGCTCTAAGTGGTTTGAATTAATAACATGTTGCTTCAATTGGATGTTAAACGTTTTTAAGTAAAGTCACGAAAAGCATAAAGCCATTTGGCTTTGTCCAGATTTTAAGGTTCGAAATTAATTCACTTGACTCATTTCAATTCGAAAGAGTAAATTTTGAATTAACTTTTACTTCAGTTCAATTCAATTCTTAATGGAAACGTTTTAAGATTCTGCAAAAGTTTTGCTTTCGCTTTGTTTTTAGCACTATAGCAGCTTAGCATTTGCATTCAATGCTGCTCATCAATAAATTGTAAATTGAAATTGAAATTGAAATGGAAACATTCAAATTTTGATTTGCTGCCCAAGACAGACACAAAAATGAAAGTGAAATGCGCTTCAAATTAAGTGCTTGGTCTAACGATTTGTCTATCTCCCTCTCTCTCTCTCTCTCTCTCTCTCTCTCTCTGTCTGTCTATTTGGCTACTTCAATGAGCCGCAATTGAAAATGTCTGTTGAAATGCTGCGCACCGCATAATAAACGACGAGCACAAACAACAATTTAATGCAGCCGCAGTTGTGTTGCTGCTGTTGCTGTTGTTGCTGTTGTTGGCGCTGCAATAATTAATAAATATTTGCGAGGTGAGAGTTGCCCAATTGATCAAAATGCTCACGCTCGATAAGTTATCGAGCACATTCACGCATTTCGAATGTGTTTGGATAATCAAGAATCTCATTTCTTCACTTCAATGAGTAATTGCTGCAAATGGGTTAGGAGTGAGTGTAGAGTGACGCCAAAAGACGAACAATGTGAATTCGATATGTTATCGATAACATAGCTGCAGTAAATTCGGGTCTACAACAATAGTACTGGCTATAACAATGGCAAAATCGAGCATTCAGTGCTGTCTCTGCTGCCGACGTATGCTCGATAAGTTATCGATAACATGAGTATCTCAAGATTGGAGTTATACGCGCATTGCATTTTTCAGTGAGCCCTAAGAACTTCTTAGCGTAAGTAGTTTATATTAGGCTCAACATGTCGATAGCTAATATAAAATATTGGACTAAACATATCGATAGCTAATATAGAGTAGAAGTAATAAGTATACCTCGCTATTCGCTTCAAAATTGAACAAT